TCTCATGGATGTCCTACATATTTTCTGTTTGCAAATATATTTTCTAAATAACTTCATATTGTATATTTTTTCATATGCCAATGTTTATTAGTGATAAGTACTAGCTTTCAATTCTTTTGTTCAGTTCTCTTTCTCTGGATAGGCATACTAATATATGTATCTTAACCAAAGACATCTTGATTCTAACAATTTCATGTGTTCTCACGCAAGCATATTTGTTTTCACACATTCTAGTTCTTCAGTCCTTTCTGGATATGATGAATGCTAATGGATGTATCTTTACAAAAGACCATCTTGATTTTAACTATTCATTCTCATTCTAGCATATTGGTTATCAAGCATACTAATTCTTCGATCCATGGTAGAATAAAAAGCATGCTTTTTTGTTTGAGAAATTCTCATGTATTTTTTTCATCCATATGCATTTTGAATAACTGCAACACCTGTCAAGTTTATGTAGCAGAACTTTTATTACCTCGAAGTGGCCTACTCAAATACGGTGCAAAGTATGCAAGGATTCTCTCATTGCTTTGGACCAATAAGGGAATAAGAGTAGCAGAACTTTTCTGCTTATGGGTTAGAATTGATAGACATTACGATCAGAAGAACAATAAATATTATTTACTTATAAGAGACTAAATTGACAGGAGAAAAATCTAGAGAAATTAATAGTATTGGATTTAAAATTTGGTATAATGAAAAAGTTAAATAAAAAATAATATAGGAATTGTTGTTAATAAATATCTTAAGAACAATATTATGGATGCGAAAAGATCTAGAGATATAATTATATTCTAAAATTTGTCAAAGAACTAGATATTTTGAATGTCATAAATATTGATGCCCTTCGAGTTAAATTGGATGATTAGATCCAAAGAGAATATTATAATAAAAAAATTTATAACTATAGAAGATTTGAATGATCATGTAGAGAAAATATATGGTGAATATAAAAGGATATATGATTTTGATTATGGGAAAAGAAATGAAGATGGTGGTATGATTTTAAGTTTTGTAGCTTCGTATGAACTTATAATTCTAAATATTAGCTTTAAGAAGAAAGATGAACATTTGATTTCTTATAGAAAGTTATATGTAAGAATTATAAAGTTAAATTTGTCAAAAGTTTGATGAATCAAGATAGGTTAATGATATTATATATTTGTTGTAGAAAATAAAAGAAAAAAAAGATAGTAAAAAAATTTACTAAGACTAGATTTGAAATTTTTAAAATGAAAATGTAATGATTTTTGAGAATAGGATGGAAAGGGTGACGGTTTGAAACTTAGACGACGATAACATTAATATTATTTAGAATATGATGGCTAATAAAATTAAAAGCTTAACAAAGGAGATCCTTGATAAAATTAAAGGTAGAGGTGTAGCTTTAAGAGAGAGTTGGTGATGGTGCGAGAAGATTCAAAAAACAATTATTACTAAAAGATTATATTTAAAAAAATAATAAAATAATAAAAATGAGGAAAAATTTAAGAGATATAAAGAATATAAAAAAGGCTAAAATGGTGGTTAGTATGGCAAGATATAAAGCTTATGAAAATTTTTATAATAAATTAGGTCGTGAAAAAGATATATATTGAATTACTAAAGTTAGAAAAAGAAAGCGTAAAAATTTAGGTATTATCATATGCATTAAACCATTGCTAATGATAACGAAATTAAGGAAAGATAGAGAAATTATTTTTTAAAATTATTTAATGAACATTCCACACAAGACTTAGTTTTAATAATAAATAATAGTGGTAGATTTAATAATCATATATTTATTCATAAAATTAAAGTTAGTGAAGTAAAAGACACCTTAAAAAAATAAAAATAGTTAAGAAAGTGGGACCTAATGGCATCGCTATTGAGGTTTAGAAAAACTTAGGAGACTAGAGAGTGGTTTGGTTATCTAGCTTATTTAACAAAATTATGAGATTCAAAAAGATATTTGATGAATGGAGAAAACGTTTTTTAATGCTAATTTGCAAGAATAAGGGTATCATACAAAACTATTCGAATTATAAAGGAATCAAAATCATGAGTCATATTATGAAATTTTGGAAAAGAGTTATTGAAAATAGTATAAGGATTGAAATAAATGTCTCAAAAAATTAATTTGATTTTATATCGGGAAGATCAACTATGAAAATTATTTATTTATTAAGATAATTAATGAAAAAGTATAGAGAAAAAAAAGAAAGATTTGTATATGATTTTTATTGACTTAGAGAAAATCGAGTTCCTCAATATTTATTACAATGGGTTTTAGAAAAAAAAGGTATATCCACTAATTATATTGATGTTATTAAAGGATACGTATGAAAATATAGTTGTCATTGTTAGAACTATAGAGAGTATATCTAGTAAGATTCGTATTAGTATAAAGATTAAACTAAGGATCCGTATTAAGTTCCTACCTTTTCACATTTATAGCGAATAAACTTATTAATCATTTACAAAATAGACCTCCATAGTATATGTTATTTACTAATGATATAGTCTTAGTTGATGAAAATTTAAATGTAATTAATTGTAAACTTAAGTTATGGAGGCGATCCTTAGAAACTAAAAGTTTTAGATTAAGTAGAATTAAAATTAAATTTATGATATGTAATTTTAGTAATACTAAAAATAGATAAAAAAAATATTATCAAGTAAAATGGAGAAGAAGTTCCTTTAAGTATAAGCTTTAGGTATCTTAGATTAATTATTCAATAAAATGGAGAGATTGACAAAAATATTATTCATAGAGAAAATAAAATGGTTCAAATTGTATGGGGTGTCAAGAGTCTTATGTAATCATCAGATACTCTTAAGATTAAAATAAAAGTTTTATATGATGTTTGTTAAACCAGTAATGCTTTATGGATTCTAGTGCTGGGCAGTTAAGAAAAAATATATTAAAAAAAAATTTTGTTGCTAAGATAAGAATGCTAAAATGAATGTGTGGAGTTACAAGGAAAGATAGGAAAAAAAAATTTTTTATTTACAAGAAAAGATAGGATAAGATGAGAGATAATCGCTTAAGATGGTATGAACATATGTTTAGGAGACTTACGGATATAATATTTAGAAGAGGTGAAATGATTAATGTTAATGATACGAGGAGGGATATACGAAGACCTAAAAAAAAATATAATTTATAAATAAAGATTTAAATATTTTAAACTCAATTAAACATGACTTTTTACATATTTAATGATGATAAAATGTTCATGTAACCAACTGATCCCAAATAATTTAAAATTATGATATTATTATTATTGTTGTATTAGCCTCTGTCAAGAAATATCACACCCAAACAACAATAAGATCCTCTTCTGACATTGTTGTGGCTGTTTAGATTAGATGTAAAAGGAAATAGCGGCCTAGAACAGAAAGACCAGTCAAATGATTTGGGTTTTACTTGATGACACAAGTGAACATTGGGATGTATTTTGTTTCTTGTGCTAATGGACTGCAGAAGCTCTGGCTTTATCTGTCATGCAAGTTAATATTAGTAGATATTAGTAGGGAGCAGAATATTTCAGTTAAATATCCCCATTCTTGGAATGGTTCTCTTACATGGCCTGTGTGTTTTCCTGGGTTAAAACGATGTGTCACTCAGCTTCCTCGTATTCAAGTTACTGACCCCATTGCAAGATACTATGGTCTTAAGCGCGGACAAGTCGTTAAGATCATTCGCCCCAGTGAAACTGCAGGGAGATATGTTACCTACAGATACGTCGTGTAGCTGCACCAGAGATTGCCTATGTTGTAAGGCAAACGATTTCAATAGTTTGATTAAGGTCTTACTCACCAAATGAACTTACTAGCAAACCATAAATGCTACATTGTTAATGTTGTATTTTTACTGAATAAACAAATAAATAAAAGCCTTGTGTGACTGTGTGGAAAACATTTATTAAATGCTTTTACTGTGATATCTTGGATTGTGTGTGTGTGTGTGTGTTTCTATAGAATGAGTTGGGTTGGATTTTGGATCTCAAAATGTGTGACATGATGAAAATAAAGTAGCAACCAACATTTACCAATGTGAAACCCTATAGCAACTTGAGGATTAGACTATACATGTATGAGTTTGGAAATTCTACCTCAAGAACATCTTAATAGATTGCACATCATTCATGATAGAGACTAGAATAATAGCATGTAGCCTAAGAAATAAGTCCCAACCAACAACAGTAAAAGCTAAAATTGTTTTTACCTTAAATAATGTCCTGAGTGAAAAGACCTTTTTTTTTTTTTTTTCTAATAATATGTTTTCTTTCGAGTTTCAATTCAAGGTAAATAAATATCATAATATATTTATTTAATAAATAAATAAATGTATCACACTTGTTATGTATAGTGGAGTTCAAAATTAGTAAAACTGAAAAAAATAAAAAAAAGACCTTTCTTTTACATGTCATTCATTATCTCCATCACAGCACATCTTTCGAATGTCCAACACAAAAGACATAACTCGAACATTATTTTAATTATTATTTTTTACTAATAAAAATAAGTGTTATCGATAGAAAAATATAATACAAAGTACCTTAGACCAAAATAACTGCAGAAAAAGGGATCTAAACCCATAACCCAAGCCAGACTATCACAAACCTATATTTTGTTCTTTAACTTGTAACATTCAGCACCATCTCGTACGATAGATAGTTTGGTGAAATTTTATATTTGACATAACACGTTTTAGTTTTTGTATGATTTTATAAGTTTATCTGACTCATCCCAAATAATTTTGTTTTAGTACGGCAAGCACATATGGATAAACAGTAATTCTAATATTTTTACTTTTTGGATGAATTTGAGTACATCCATATTCAAATCTTATGAACCATATAATAATTTTAAAAAGATTAATATAAAGGGAAAACCTAATTATGGATGATTTTTCTGGATAAATTAATCTAAATTTAATCGATGGTCTCAAGAAAACCAATAAAAATTTCCAAAAGAAAAGAAAAAAAACTAAACCTCGTTTCTTGCAGCTCGCAGAAGCTACGGGAGGCGGGTTTTAGTACTCGAGTCGGTGGCGCTTCCGTAACTCTCGCCGCGGCGCGGCTCTCGCTGTCTTATCCTTCTTTGCCACCGACAGACGGCATACTATATATTCTCTTCGAGTCTCGGATTCTCCATTCATCGATCGCATGGCAGCCGCCGAGACCGAAGTGGATGGCCCGGCTATCCGAACCCTGGGCGCCCTGTTCTCCGTCTCGACTGTCTACCTCTCGTGAGTCGATTCATCATCATGATCAGCGTCATCCTCTTGATTTCACAGAAATCGCTCTTTTCTTCTTTGCTTTTAGGGTTTTTGAGTTTTGTTCTCTTTGCTGGGGTCTTAACTGGACAGGGATGACGTTAGGGTTAGCAACTTGGAGGTCTCTGATCGCATTGGTAGCCTGGAAGAAGAAGAAGAAGAAGGTGAAGAAAGCGAATCCAGGGTAACTATCTTTTGTTTTCCTATGTAGGATTTCTTTCTTAGTTAGGATCGAGTCGGTTTTCTTCCAAGTTGTTGGAACTTAAGCTTTATTTGAGAGCTAATGATGCATCATCTGCACATGGTGCATGACGATCTTGGTCTGTTGACTACGCTGAGTTCGGAGTTTAGCATACATGGCTTAATAGTCTCTTGACTAGATTAGAATACCCCTTCCTAAATGGCGTTCTGTGGTTGACACTTTGATGCGTAAGGAGGTCAATCGAGAAGATGCATTCTGGAGGCGTATTTCCTTCTCTTACAAAGTCAAATCATCGAGACCTTGGAGAGATTTTTGGGTATTCAAATCAATCTCAAAGGAAGAGGTTGGACTTAACATTTATATATTACTGTGTTGGAGCCGTCGAGGTTTATCTGCAAGCTCTTATTGTTCATGTCCGGTTGAACCATCTTATTTGCTCCGCTGTTTTAGCTAGTCCCGTTCCCATCCTATACACATTGACAAATTGGACACAACTAACTACACGTCCTCGTGGGTATCGAAGATCTAACTTGTTGAAGAAATAAGCATACAAGATGCATATTTTCTATTGAAATTTGCTTCTCTCTTTGAGGTCTGAATCTAGTTCCTGGGAAACTTGTAAATAAGTTTACTGTATCTTGTCCTGAATTTCAAGCTGGTAAAATTCTTTCTTTATTTCAAATTAGTTTATCTTCTAAATACTTATCTTATGCCAATGTCCTATAAACAGTTGTTTAATACAACATTTCCAGTTATTTAGTTGCTGGACTTATATTTATTAGATAATGGATTTTCTCTTACTATGTAACTTGTGGATGTTGCAGAGATCTACTATCACTTGTGACGCCAGCATAAGCGGCAAGCAGGAAACAGATTGTAAAAATTCTGAACTTCTATACTTTCATGTACTTTGGCTAATTTTAAATTTGTCTTTTTTTTTTTTTTCACTTTCATGTTCTTTTTCAAATTTCTGAACTTTTATACTGTTGCTCATTAAAAATGTGTCTCTACTAGCTTTTCTGTAGCTACTAAATTGCCACTGTATATAGACCTTTACTTTGCAAATTTTCATTTACCTTTTTAGAACTTCTGAGTTAGTTTAAATTTTGACCATCCCTATTGTTGGGCCTTCCAGATTGTTATTTGATGGAAGATACGGAACTAGCTCAGAGTATGGCTGCTCTTGGACTCCCAGTTTCTTTCAAGACAAATAAGCAGGTAAGTGCCCACTGAAGATCAATAATCCAGTTTGCGTGAACTTTGGATTTTCTAATGGTATGAGCTTTCCATCTTTTATTTATTTGGTGTTTGCGTTATATTAACCTGTTTATCCATTGTAGAGAAAGGTGTCTACTTCAGCGAAGAGAAAGGGAATGCTGGTGAAATCTAAGTATGCTCATAATGATGTAGAGGAACAAGATCCTGGCATTTCTAAAGTTGAAAAGGTTCTTCGTGATGGCACAATTTTACCTGTTTCCATCAATAGTACAGAATGGGTAGCTTCTAATCTTGATGATTTAGAGGAAAGTCCTAGTAGCAGTGTGCACTTTGATGAACAGTTTGTATGCGAAACTGCTGTAACCACTAGTGAGGTTGGTGAAAGTCAAGATTGTGATGAAATAATCACATTGGAACATGTGGTTGATGAATTTCAAACATCTGGTGGCAATGTAGATGTTAAAATTTTAGACCATAATAAGAATTTAGATACTGGAAGTTTTACGCAAGATGTTTCGGAAGAGTTGAGCTCTGGACATTATTTGGAGTTGCCTAACAAACAGGTTCTCTCCTATACCATTTGATTTTACAAGTACAAAAGAGAAAAATATTTTTGATTGACTAGATCTGTGGCTCTGCAATGCTCTGTTGAGCCTTCTCACTTGTTCTTCGAGTGATCTTGCAGGAGTCTGATAATACTTCTGTATGCTTGGAAGTTGGTGACTGGAGGGTATTATGGGATGATTATTATCGGAGAAACTACTTTTACGACTCCATAACACAGGAGACAACTTGGTACGCTCCTCCGGGATTCGCGTATCTGGCATCCAACCAATCTACTTCTAATGGCTTGTCTGCTGATGCAGCTGAACAGCATTCAGGCTTTGAGATTGATTGTGATACTGACAGACATCAGGATGCAAATGTAATACAAGCTGAAAGTGATCCACTCCTGGAAAACGAAATTGTTATAGATCAGATGTTATCAGATTCCTCTGATAAAAGCAACTATGTTAATTGTCTTGGTATAAATCGTGGCTCTGAAAGTTTCAACACGATCACCAATGCCAAAGAAGTTTCAGAGTATCTATTTTCAGACCATCCTACATGCATCAATGACAATACCAGAGGTTGCACTATACAATCTTCTCCCTACAGCTTCTTTTGATCCGCACATTAGATGTTAGCTACCATAAATGGTTAAACTTCAGTAAAAGTTTCAGTTCTGAAAAGTGTAGAGGACTAATACAAAGCTGGTACTTGTGATCTCTGAAACAGATGAGCTTGAAACTTTGGATAAACAAGCAGAGAAAGTCACTCACGATGAGGCATCACTTGAAATTCCCATACAAAACTGGTACACTGAAAAATATGAATGCTCTCTCTTTGTTGAAGTATTTGTTTTGTTCTCAAGACAGTCATTTTAATTTCATGTTGATATGATTTTATGGCAGTTTGATCACTTCATCAGATGAGATAGGTTATGATGGAGAAGGAAATGAAGGCTCTATGACAGATGAGCTGGGCAATAATTATGTGTCTCTTAATGGCAAAAAGAAGAGGAGAGCAAGAAGGCAAAAATCAGGTGAACAAAATTATGTAAAAAGATATGCAAATGCTAGATATAGTAACTTATTCTTTTGCAGTTCTCTTTTTAATTAAGGTCAAGATCAGGATGACAAGAGGTATATATGGGGTTAGATGAGACAAAATGTTTGCATTTGTGGGGTAGGTGTAGTATCTAGTAAGGATAAAATCACAAAAAAAAGGCTTAAGATGAGTTGGACATGTTGAAAGGAATTATTAGATGCATCACTTAATCAATATGATTTAGTTCCTATTAGTGGTTACAAGAGAAAATAGTGGTTATCACATTCTCATTTTCCATTTGCTTCACAGTTCAATTTGTATATTGATGAGGCCAGATTTGGTCATTAGTTTAATAAGCTGAATCTAATCCAACCTAGCCCACTTACCAAGCCCGAACTTCAGGAAGACTCGTCTAAATTGATCTCAGATGCGATGTCCAATTCTTATAAAACTAGTTCTGGAGGTGTTCTCGGCATGACCTCTTTGATGCTCAAGTTCGAAATGACCTAAGGTAGAGAAATGAATATTCAAATTGGTGAGAGAGAAAGTGTTTGTTTGTCTGGTACCGAGAGATTTTTCTTCAATAAATTCATGGATTTTACTTGTTTTAGTCAAAGTGCAAATGCTAGGTCATGGGTATTGGTATCTGGTAGCTTTCAACAGTTTGGTGTTGGTAACCTGTGGTCCTATTTTTGGCTAAAGAAATGTGTAATGAAGTCCTAGAGTCACTAAAAATATGCTGGGAGTTATTTTAGGATTCTTGCAACTTCTTTGTGGAGAATTGCACCTTACATCTGGTGTTTTATAAATATATGTTAAAGGAACATTACAAATTACATAGAATTATTGGTGTATTGAGTGAAATGTTCTTGTTTGTAGTGGTTCCACAAGCTTTCTCTTATATTCTTTTTGACCTTTTCATGTCTTTCGATATGGAGTTCCATGTCTTATGCATGTGGTTGCTTTTGGTTTCTTTCAAGTTACTTTAAACTTGTAATAAGATGAGATACAAAAGTAAAAGGCGAAAGGGGTCATCCCAGTAAACGAGGCTCCCACCAATGTGGGGTTTGGGAAGGGTCATTGTACTCAACTTTACCTCTATATTTAGAGAAATTGTTTTCTAGACTCGAACTCTGATTTCCTGGTTTGCAATGGAGCAACTTTGCCGTTGTACCCAGGCTCACCTCGAGATGGAAACTTAAAGTACAAATATATTTACATTTGTTAGATACTGTTGGCAAATTCTTTTGTGGCTTTTGAACGGACTGGATACTCACTGAAACGTGTCTTCTTTTTCTTTGGTATACCTCCCAAGAAATGTTTTATGAATTGAAGAATGGGTAAAAGAGGGTGACTTTACGTTTCAGAAAACCTTTTCATTTGTGCATACTGGGTAGACCAAGTAGTTGGTTATTATAAATTGATATAATTGTACTTGTTATCAGGTCTGTTCTGATCATAATTAGAGAACTGGGAGGGAGCTTTATCAAATAAGGAAGAAAGAAAAGAATTAACATACCATAGTCATAACACCAACAAAAAAAAATCTCATGGAATTGTTTTGAAAACGATCACTGAGCATTGTGGAATTTTAACAACCCTCAGCTATGCCATTCAATGGATCATATTTGCATAACATAGGGCATCTTAGCCATATTTACATTACACACGTCTTTCAGAATCAGATTTCTTGTTTTCTTGTACTACTTTGCACCTTTTCCTGTGTTATATCTTTCTTCCTGTATGTACATTCTGCAATGTGTAAAAGAAACCTCTATTGTTCATGCCTTTCAGTGTTCTACTTTAATTTAAAGATTGTTAGATAATCAAAATGCAACAATGTTATGAAAATTATGAAAATATGCTTATTTGAAATTCACACCAACTTTTGTATTCTTCTAGATTAATGATCTTAATACTAATATCTTTTGATGCATTGGTAGCTCTGAAATGTTAATAATGTTTCATGTTTGTGTCTAAACAAGATCTGTTTATAATTCAGTGTAGAGCTTTAAGATGCTTTATAGGATTTAGTGCAGAGCATGAGACCATTCCGTTTCTAAATTTTTTTTAAGGCATTTAGCCATAGTTGTGAGGTCGTAACTTTGATTCTACTTCTGTTTCATTGTAGAGCCTAAATCGCCAGGAGTTTATGAAGGTGTCTCTGCCAGTACTTTCAAGTATTGGTGCCAGAGATATTCACTATTTACCCGATATGATAGTGGCATAAAGTTGGATGAAGAAGGATGGTTTTCTGTCACACCGGAGCCCATTGCAAGACATCATGCAAACCGTTGTGGTGGTGGTGTTGTGATTGATTGTTTTGCTGGAGTTGGTGGAAATTCTATCCAATTTGCCATAAAGTGCGTAAGTAATGTTATTTCAGTAGTTATCTTCTGCATTTTATTTCCATAGTGATTTTCTGCATTATGTATCAGAACTATCCCTTTGATGAAAGAAAAAAATCTGATTATTTCTTTCTCTTATTAGCTTGATAGTAGGTGTTCTTTTCTCTGGTATTTCATAAACACATAAAAGCTTCAACATAATTGAGGTTATCCATAATAAATGACTGGCTTGGCTAACTTATCTATAATCAATGAGTTTGATCCTGTGAATAAGAAAAATTAATTCCTTAAAGCTGATTGCTTTTCTCTTCGATTGGAGGCCAAGTTTATCACACGTCTTCCTAACATCACAGTTCTGTTGGACGTATAAGAAAAACAAATTCAGTGATGGTAGGAGCTATGAAGTAACATTCACTGCTTAACAAAGATGCATATGCCTCTTAATATGAGGATAGACCCAGCCCCCAGTGTCCAAATGACCCAGCTAGCAATGCTATGGTCTATCAGTCTATGTTAGATGATTGTTGGAGCTCAATCTTTTTCACGTAGTACGAATTCAAAGCTTTCCCTCAGCAGACTCTCAACTAAATCTGGCATGCAGCCTTGCTAATAAAAATGGATTATGCAGTGGTGCAAACTTATTTTGACTAGGGCTTATTGCCCTGGTTACTGCCAGTGTGCATTTACTACCTTATTTGTGGGATAATGTTGCCAATATCATTGCCCCTCTTGGAGGATGCTTCTTGATTCTAGAAACAGGTTAAGTTAGCATAGAAGTTACATGTGATGCAGTTTTGTCATTTATGAAAATCTGTTTATATAAGTTGTATTGTATGTATTTGTTGTCCCTCCTTTGAATGTAATTTAAAATATGATTTTTCATTTTCAAAATCTTGATTGTGGGTATCCATTTTATTTCAGGAGTAATTATGTTATTGCCATTGACATTGATCCTCAAAAGGTTGAGTTCGCATATCATAATTCTACTATTTATGGAGTTCGTGACAAAATAGACTTTGTTCAAGGTGATTTTTTCAAGATGGCAGCTTACATGAAGGTACAATCTGCATGACAGATAAACATAATAGGCTTCCTTTTGATAAATGAGCAGAATGTTTTGCCTAATTAATGAACTATTCATTCTAAAATTGTTATCTGTAGCACAAATGGCACCAACAGCTCATGGTTTTCTTTTCATTCTAAAATTGTTATATGTAGTTAAAATAGCATCAATAATCAACTACATGCAGATTTTGGGTTCAAGACCCTTTGGTTCTTTGCTAATCATCACTTCTTTGTGTTTAAGGAGTTATATTCAACTTATAGAAGAGAATAATGATTAGAACTTATTCAACATAAGAGAAGAAATTCAAGTTTTGTCTAAATTACAAAATTTCCAGTATCCTATATTTTCTCATGTATTTCTTGTTAAGGTTTAATCACTGAGAAATCCTCTAGGATTTAGAGCTACTGAGCTCTGCAAACATTTTATTAGCTTGGCTGCTTAGACAGCTCAGCAGTTTGCTTTGAGTGATGGTTATAAAGATGACCAAAGGCCTTCTCATTTTCTCTTTTGGTTGATTTGCTGTTCTAGTAGAACTTTTTCTCTGATGTTGAATACGATAATATAAAATATGATAAAAGTGTTTTGATACTCGACGAGGTTAGTTCTCTCACTTTTTCTGATACTTCAGTACTTTGATAAACCCTATTTTCTGTGTCTTCAAGCATCTTTAATTATATTTCTCCTCTAATTGTTTTATTATGCAGGCCATTTGGTAGATAAGATTCGGTTTTTGAAAAGGTAGTGATAACCCGAGAGTAATCAAAGGAGAAGAGCAACAATGGGAAGATTGGGTCTTTCTGAGTCATTTGATATGGGAAGAGAGATTAGAAATTGTCACTAGAGGATTTCTACACACAATATATTTGCAAACTATTTTAGCACATAAGTTGCATCGGCTTATGATTAGAATATGACAGAAAACCTTGGATCATGGTAGCATTGGCCCTCTACAACCTAGGTGTCAAGTGGTTTGAGTCATAATAAAAGCCTCTACGCTTTTGTAACCAACATTGGTAGGAACCTTGTATTTGGTTCTCGCCTTTCAGGTACATGATACATACATAGGTTAGCTTGAAATGTCCTGCCCAAGTGAAAACATAAATGGAATAACCACCTTTTTATCTATTGGTCATGTCAGAACCTTTTCGTGTAAACAATTTAGATATGGAACATAAATGAAAGTGAAGGAGATTGGATGGAAGATATGACAGATTGACAAAGACCTATAGTTTTGACTAGTTGCCAACCATTTCAAACTTTGGAAAAGTGACTCAATTGTGAAATGTGAAGAACTAATAAAAGAGAACATAGGCTTTGTTACATAAATGAAATGATTTTGATGCATCTGAACTAATTTACGAGTACTAAGATACGGAACCATATAAGAATCCACCACTTTACAAAATGGTGACTCTACTTATGAAGGATGTAATCTGCATCTAGTTATTCAACTAATACACTGCATTGTCTATTGTATTCTGATGTAGGGAGACTCCGTGTTTCTATCACCTCCTTGGGGTGGACCAGATTATGCAAAAGTGCAAACTTATGATATCAGATCCATGCTTAAGCCTCATGATGGGTTTGTTTTCTTTTTTCACTTATTATGCAATTATAGTTCTTTACTGATTTGTCAACCATCAATGAATTTTATTTTCTTTTATTAATATATCAGGTACCATCTCTTCAAAATTGCAAGCAGGATTGCCTCCAAAGTAGTAATATATCTTCCTCGGAATGTTGACTTCAACCAATTGGCAGAGCTTTCTTTATCAGTCGATCCTCCTTGGACACTTGAGGTATATTTCATTTAAAATCTGCAGTCTTTTGGCATTTATTTGAATGATAACAAACAATGTATGCCTTTTGTTGACACAGAATGGGATTTTTTTTATAAAACAAAATGTGCATATATAATTAATTCAAACATAATGAATAATATTTTTATTTTATTTTGATAGCTATCCATGTAAAAGTTCAGATGTAGAACTCAGTAGTGGATGCCTAATTGTAATTCTTTGTTGCTCTAAAGAACTAGAATTTGGAATGTAGGAACTCTCAACATTCCAGATTGTTAGCATTTTCATCTCTGGATATGAGTGAGGGAGTGACCAACTCAGATGTTGGTTGCCACAGTTAGGGGAAGTGTATCGACATTTATAAGTGGGCTGATTTTGTTGATGTCAAGGTTGTAGAAAAGGATAGAAGATAATACATTTCAGATAAAAGAGAGAACAGGAGGGAGTAATATTGTTGAATTAAGAGGAAAAAAATATCCTGCAGTTGATAATTATCTTTGATATTTTTGTTAACTTATGTTTGGTTGCAGAATAGACTGAACCTTTGTTAGGATAAAAGAAGCTAATAGATGGTTTTTTAAGCTATATTTCACTTATATTGTTTTGCCCTTAGGACACTTTTAAATAGGCCTTGGATGCAAGCAAACATGAAAGCAAGCCATGTGGCTTTACATCACATTTTAGGATTTTACTTCTTAAATAGATCATATTAAGTAGATCTAAATCTGATTTAAAACTCATTAAATTTTTTACTTGATTGGTTGGATCACTAGTTTGATGGTTTAGTTTAAATGTTGGTTTAGATTGCCAGCTTGCAGAGGCAGCAAGTTTCCAACTTTTTATGTTAACGAGGAGATGAGGTTGGGTAACTGATAGAGAACAGGTTCCATGGTAAGCTATTACCGAAGCAAGAATGACAAATATGAAAATTTTATGACTAAACAAATTGACAAGTTTCAAAATTATGATTGTGGAATTGGTATTCTGATTATTAGTTGTTGCAACAGAGTCAGGAACTAGGAAAAGACTTAATCCAGATCATGACTAAAGGAGACAAGCAAAAAGAGTCACCTTTGTTATTTGAAATCAACATAATAATTGCATTTTCAAGAGCTGATTGCTTCTCTTATTTGCAGCCTCATCTGGATATGTCACTATCTGTCATAGGAATCCAGAAAGCAATTGACTGGGCATTCTATTCTTAAGAAAAAAAATTAATCCAATAAATCATCAACTGGATGTTGCTGCACCATGCACTTTAATAGTATTAGTGCTTACTCTAGCGTGACAATGTATTAAATCAAGGTGGTATTTAAAAGTCCTTCCACAAAATAGTTGAATTGAGAAATAGAACTTGATGTACCGAATCTCAAACCTATGTGATACTCTGTTATCACTCTATAATTTGACATAGGACAAGTAAGCTTTTTTAGCTTTATTGAACTTGGGTCTTAAGTTCAATAAAATGACCTACTGTTCTTTGTTTCTATATTTATTACAATGAAGGGTGGCATTCTAAGATAGGTCAGGCAACTCGTGGGATGTTGGTTTCATTAATTCGTAGTTCAGTTTTTCCTTATAATGACATTATAGATGTTTCTTCTAAAGAAGCATTAATTCCAGAATGGCCAAAATGTGCCCACATGATTTGAGGTTATTCTTGATAGGAGAATATGGTGCTACTCTCTCTCTCTCTCTCTGTCTCTTTTCTGTAGATCATTTTTTGTTACAATGTCCTTACATAATTTGAGTCTATTCATGATAGGGAAACATGGTACTCCTGTATGTTTTTGATGTAGGTCATTTTTTTACCCATATTCAACATTTATTATTTATTATTTTATCATTTCCGAAATAAAGGGAAGATGATGTATGAACACGAGGGGAAATAAACAGATTATAAGCAGTTTATTTTAAATGTTGAGTTTGGAAGAGTTGTAGATAAATCTGGAAGATATTAGTGATAAATGAACATCATTCCACTTTCTCTGGCCTCTTAATTCTTAATTCTGATACACTTCAAAATGCTTATGACAGCCATACTCTCATCTTCTGATTAATTGTCATTTAATACTTTTTTGAAATGCTTATGAAATCATATTCTGATTTTCTTGGTTATTGATGTATGGTAACTATATTATTGCCATATCCTGTTGCATTATATGATATAATGTCAGGAATTGAGGTATGCTCATGTTTTTATCCATACCCCATCTCCCCGTGTTAATGTTTAATAAATAAGCCAAGGCACGTAGATTATGGATCTTAATAAGATGAGATTAATAATATTCAAGACACCATCATCCAACCAAATTTACCTATTTCTCACAAATTCGAATCCTTAAAAAGCCGGAGAAATTATGATGTTTTCTGGTATGATGGCCTTCAATTGTTTCGTGTTTTTTTTTTGTTTCCTCTTCTTTTGCTACAACAAAAGTGCCATTTTGAATTAGTAAGACAGACAGGCAGTGATTTTGCCTAATTATATTCCCTTTTTGTAGGTTGAGAAGAATATATTGAACGGGAGGCTCAAAGCTGTCACTGCCTATTTCACTAGTACATCTTGACTCGACTCTCTAAACACTGTTCCGTTTTGTGATTTCGCTGCTAAAAATGCGGGTGATGTTTGCTTCTCCTATCTATCTGTAATTGTGTCAGAAAGAATCTCCGCCGTCCCCTGATCAGGACTAGTGAGATCTCTGTATGTTGTTTGTAACTTCACCTTTTATGTTATGACAGGGTCGGTCTCTCTGAAACTGTCTTCTCTTCTAGGGAAATATATAT